TATTTTACAATTTTTCCGGCACGTTGTAAGACAACGTCGACAATGGGTAAATAATGAAAACAATTTGGGTTAATTTTATTTCATGATATTTTGGTGTTGTTTGTCGTATTTCTTGCAGTTCTTATCATCCCTTTATCGTAAATGTATAGTATAACAAAAAGTATAACAAAAAATTTAAAGATTCAATTTGATTTAATAAAAATAAACGGCAAACATGCCGGTAAGTGCAATTTTGTAAGGCCGTTTTAAAAAAGGAATGAATCAGCAAGGTTACAAAGTCACAGGTAACTAAACGAATATTTTTTATTGCACGACATATTTAATTAGATTCTAGTGCTCAAAGTTTTGATATTCCTTGATTCGGATTTCGGTTATCATTTGGAATGTATCGGCTCTGGACCATAGACATTCTGGTCCAATTCTGTGGTTAAGGTTGTGGGTTCCATTCGTCTATAGTTTTTATTTTTGCAAATTATAATAGAATTTGAACTTTTATAATTATTGTTTATTAGGTGTACTACTACGTATAAAAAGTACCCGGAAATTGTAAACAAAGCACATACACTGTTATTTATCATCAAAATTTATTTTGTCACCTTCAAAGTAGACTCCATCGAGTGCAATACAGCTATGCCAACGTTTAATCCAATCCTCCATACACCGCTCACAGGCCGCCGAAGGTATCGCCTTCAGCTGTTTCAGCGAATTTTGTTTGATGGTGTCTATCATTTCAAAGCGGCGACCCCGTAGTGGCAAATTTAGTTTTGGAAATAAAAAATCACGGTGTCATATACGGTGAATATAGTAGTTGGTCGATCGTATTTATTGAGTTTTTGACCTTATATTCGGTCACAATCGTAGCTCTGTGATTTGACGCGTTGTCGTCGTGCAAAACCAAGAATTTTCCTTTCACAATTCCGGCCGCTTCCGACTGATACTTTCGCGCAAACGCCTCAAAATGCCGAGATAATACTCCTTATTAACCGTATGTCCTTTCCGGAAGGAATTCGAAATGTACTCCTGTCTGTACTTTCCGGAAGGAATGTACCTCGATACTCAAAAAAGAAACCGTCAGCATCGCCTTCACTTTCGACCGACATTGGCGCTGTTTTTTCAGTTTCGGCTCATCATCATAGCGACATTCCGATGATTGACGACTGGTTTGTATGTCGTACTCGTAGACCCATGCTTCGTGTCCAGTTACGATGCGTTTCATAAAGTTTGGTTCGCTATCGGCTATGGAAAACATGGAAACCATGGCAAGAGCAACCTGCTTCCAATGCTCTTTTTGAAGAACATTCAGCTCTTTCGGAACCAGTTTCGCAGCGTCGCGTTTCATGCTCAAAATATCACTAAAAATACCATGAGCTGACATTGATGATATGTCACACTCTTGAGCCAACTCTCTAACATTCATGTGGCGATTTTCAAGCACTAATATTTCGATTTTGTCGATGTTATCGGCTGTCGTAGAGGTCGATGGCCAATCGGAGCGAGGCAAATCTTCGACGATTTCAAGGCCCGCTTTGAACTGCTTATACCACTCGTAAGCCTGTGTTTTGGACATACATGAATCACCAAAGTCCTTAATATTTTCAATGAATTTCGTTGATGGCACAAAATTTTTAACAAACGCGTTGTTCCACTATTTTTTCCGATGTACAATTCGCCGAGTACACTTGAGGTCTCGTCTATTATTAACAGCTGCTGTAAACACAGTGAGTGACAGATCGCGCTCTAAACATAAACAGGCTTGGTAATTAAGGAAGGGGCTACCAAACTGAAGAAAAAAAACATTTTACCGATTCCTTTTAAGCGGTTCATTTAAATCGAAATTTCCGGGTCCTCTTTGTGCGTAATTAGGTAACACGTATTAGTAGTATCAGCACTTTGTTCATTTGTATAAGTTTTGGAAATATTTTAAGTAGGTAGTTTACGATATTGTCGACATTGTCCACATTGTTTACATTTTCGACGTATTAAAAATTGTAGAACCCGACATCAAAGTCGACTTGTCGAGAATACAATTATATTGTCGACGTCGCCCATCTCTGATTATAACCCTCTTAGTAAGCTTAACGCCCCTGAAATTCAGGAAAACTACACGTCCTTTATTACAGGTATGTATAAATCATAAGATTGTCATTTCACATCTAGAGACGTCGACCGGCTTGCTCGACATTTATCGTGAATGTCCGCTCGATCACGAATCAAGGGCGAGAGTTTTTGCCTGTTGTGCCCACAAGTACTTTATGCGTTCCTTTCGAATGTACATATATGTTCGCCACTGAAATATAAACCCTCCCGATCATATATATTTGCCACCCCCAACAGTAGAAGAATACATTTGAAAGTTACATTTGTTCTTGAAAATGTATGCTATACATAAAATATCATTTATGAAATTAATGCTTTTTTCAAGCTCTTTAAAATAGCGTTAAAGAGATTTTTTTTTAAATAATTATTTCACTATTTTTTATTCGATTAAAATATGGAAAAAATTTAAAAATTAATTGCCCATCTTTAGATAAGTGTATCAATATATAAAATACGCTACAAAAAATTTGAAAACACGTTTGTTTTTTCAAGACTTTTCAAATGCACTTTTCACTTTTTTTAAACTATTGAAATTCAAAGTTTTATCGCGTGTTTTATAAAAAAAGTAGACATTTCGAAATACTGGTGAATATTTCGAAATCTTTACAGTATGGAAAAAAATATTTAGAAAAATGTTGCATTTTGTCAGCAGAATATACTGTAATTTTTTCAAACTTTTTTATTTTTCTTAGTTTGGTTCCATCAGTAACTCGTTTAATCGGCCCAGGTTTCGTGTTTCAACAGGATAATGATCCTAAGCACAGTTCAAAATTATGCAAAAACTATTTGGAAGGTTTATCAAAAAAGAAAAAACTTGAAATAATGAATTGGCCTCCACAAATTCTTATTACTTATTACTATTAATAATAGTATAAATCTTAATTATAAAATATAGTCATATTAAAATGTTACTTCAATTCAATTAGAAATTAAAAAAAGGTGTAGTTTATGCCACGTATATTATTTATTTAAAATCGTTATTTATTATGTATTCGTGAAATCATAAAATGTATATTCTTGTTACTTAATTTATTCCGTTACTATTGTTACGAATAATTTATTAATTTATATAAAAATTGTTAATCAATTTGTTAATAAAAGTTCATATGTTTAAATGAATACATTTTTTATTTACATACATAAAATCACAAAAAAAAAACTAAGAAAAATAAAAATTTCCTGGAAAAGCTTGAAAAAAATTACAGTATATTCTGCTGACAAAATGCAACATTTTTCGGAAATAAAACTTTTTTCCGTACTGTAAAGATATCTAGATATTCACCAATATTTCGAAATGTCTACTTTTTTATAAAACACGCGATAAAACTGAATTTCAATAGTTTAAAAAAAGCTACAGAACAGTGTTTTAAAATGGTTTTTATCCTTTTTATCGTTATTATCCTTAGAGATACACTGATCTAAAGATGGGTAATTCATTTTTAAATTTTTTACCATTTTTTAATCGAATAAAAAATAGTTAAACAATGATTTTAAAAAAATCACCAACGCAATTTTAGAGAGCTTGAAAAAAGCGTAAAACTTTTTAATGTATTCTTCAACCATTGGAGGTGGGCAAATACATATGATCAGGAGTGTATGTCAGCGCGTTTTCTTATGGAACTTAATTAAAATTTGTTATTCCTATTATCAATAAGTTAGTGCTTTATTCCTAATGTGAATAATTATAATTTTGCTCATCTTTTGCCTTATTTCGTATGTAAAAGGCACGTTTCTTCTCCGCACTACTTCATTGGCATTCATACCCGGTTATCAACTGATCTGTGAAGGTAGGATTACTGTAATTGCCCGCCAACTTTATCGTAATTGCTGTTCCTAATTAAACAATTAAGAAATACGACTAGCCTGTACATAACGGCCGATCACTCGGTCGCTAATTAGGTTAATAATTTTCCACGTGAATGTTTGTGCGTTATATGAAGAATAGTATTTCCAGCAAAGCGAAGGAATCGTGGAACGAGATGAGCAATCAGTGTCATTCACCAGTACTTAAAACCCTTCGGGGTGCCATAGAGCAGGTTATAGCTAACATTGGTTGTAAAAAGTTAATGCGACAGCATTCCTTCACAGATTTTTAGGATGTTACATACTCACGTGTAAAACAATATTTCGTTTCACTACACTAGAATTATTCCTTCCAGACCAAACAGGTCTGGAAGGTCGACAAAAACTTCGAAAAAGGATCGTGCGTGTGAGACCAACATGAAGAGCAACTGGATGTTGCATCACGACAATGCGCCTTGTCAAACAGCCATTTCAATAAACGAGTTTTTAGCCAGCAAAAACATTCCTGTGGCTCCTTAGCCCCCTTATTCGCCTTATTAGGGTCCTTGTGACTTTTTCTCTTCCCGAGTGTGAAATATTACCTCAATGTACATCATTTTGGGACCATAGAAAACATTCAAACTACTGTAATCGACCAACTGAAGGCTATCCTAGTATATGAGTTCCAACACTGCTGTGAGGAATGGAAGAGTTGTCTCCAGCGCTGCGTGGCTTCCCAAGGAAGTTATTTTGAAGGAGACAATACCGAATTGTAATTCTATTCGAATAAAAGCATTTAAAAAATCAGTCTCATTACTTAATTTACACACCTCGTATTTCTGAATCTTGTTCTTGATTGTACGGTTTCTGAATCAAGTTTTCTAGTATAGAGCAGTCATTTTTATACACTGTCATAATTTCATTGTAATTTGTACATAGTTGTATAAATCATGTTGTATAAATCATGGTCTTTAGATGGCAATAAAGGGTCTGTATGTGTGTAATAAATCACACCACAGAAATTGACAGTCTCCCTCTAAGAGTCATTACAACTGTGCAGAGGGAGAATACACATGGAAAAGACGTAGGACACACAACCAAACTCTGTGACAGGTGCCAATTGCCACAGGCGGGATTCGAACCCGCGCGGATAATAGCTCTCGGAGTCTGGCGCTTTACCCACTGAGCTATCGCCGCGGCTATATGGAAGTCGATGTTTCCTAGATTCTCCTCTACTGTGATAGAAAGACCGGTTCTTGTAAGACCGTTTTTAAAATCAGTAGACTTGATTAGAACATATCTTGTAATTACATATAAATAAAAGAGAGAAGCTTTCTTAATTGGTAGTCGATGGTTAAAATATTTCTTGTGAAATATCCACGAACAAATATTTTAACGAATTACAAATCTGAATAAATTAACTCTTTGTACGGACATTTAGGAACCGGCTAATCGTACACGTCATTCTGGGTATCTCAATAAAAAAAAAGTAATTTACGCCTTCTTCAAAAACTATTTAACAGCTTACGTTTCGTGTTTGTCGAGCAACGAGAACAGACGACTATTTCATCGTAAACGTTGGGATCAAGGTTATAAAAAAAAGATGGGTTAATCCACTTCTGATTTATGGCGCTAACCTGTCAATAGGAGAAAGTAGTGAACAAGATCTGTGCGACTCAATAATTCAAGGGCTGAAAGGCCCGTTCAAGGTGTTCTTTTGTTACAGCAATATAAATACGAGTTTAAGATACGGCGACAAGAACTACTTTGTCTAAATGTGGCATATTAAAGCTATTTTCCACATTTAAATTAAGTTTGCAAAAAGATATTCGATTAATTCGTTTTTGCCGGTACCACCTCGGTAAGGATCAGTGATTTCAAGGGTATTTCACATTAATTTTCTGAATGACCGAATGATTTCAAGGACACTGACGGTTACAGTACATTTTTCCCAACAGATTTGTAGCTGTAATTACTCATTTTGATCGATCAAATAACATTATTCTTTGTATACAGAGAGCCGCAAAAGTGTTTCGAAACCGAAATAAACAAGTTTTCGCAAAAAAAATCTAAACAGGTCAAATTTTAATTACAAAAATGGATATTTTGACGCCACTTAACCTTTCGATCGTTAATTGTAATTGGAGGAGATAACGTCATCTTCAATTTTGTCAAATGGCAAACCCCTATTTTTGGTATTGGTTTTGGCAAGCCTAGTAATTATATATATAAAAAAATAAGATTTTGCAAACTTGCAATTGAAAATTTTAGAGAAAAGAAATGAAAATTATAAGACACAAATTTCCAACCATTGACTTTTTAAGAATAGGTAAGTGTATCTTCATTGAGTACATTCTTCTGTGGACTCCTAAATCCCCAGACCTCTCACCCCTGGACCATATTCTTTGGAGATATTGTAATATTAATACCACGAGACCACAAAATTTAGAGGATTAAGAGAACAGAACACAGTGCGAAATTAGACAAATTACGGCGGAAGTCATTCACAGTGTACTCAGTGGATATGTAGATATCCTACGATGCTAATACTAGTGTGCCGGATAGTCATACATTTAGAAATTAACGAACCAATATTAAAGTTGCGAAATTATTGTCACTAATGCTAAATGATCGATGAAACTTATTGACGTCTACTGCAAAACAAAACGATATACTATCGTCCATACACAAATTGTAATCTACAAATTTGTGTTTCGAGAAATATGAGTTTGTGTTATTGTTATGAGTGGAAGTTGATATCAATTTAGAATGATAACGTTACGAAAGTAACGCATATAATTTACATACATATATGTATGTAATAATTCCAAATTGTATAATTTTGCAGATAGAACCTTTTGTTTTTGAATGGCAGTACTTATACGCATTAATTTAATTACATGAAGATATATAGCACTGTGTAAAGTTTTAATATTGATTTTTTCTCCCTCTAATTGGTCATGAAATCTTATCATACCTAAAATTGTTATCAAGATAGCACAAATTATATCAACATAGCAAATCAGACAATCTGTGAAAATTTTGAATAAGAATATTAGGCAATCGAAAATGAAAGCCCAGAGATCTAATTGCCACTATCCTTAATTATTTTTTTACAGAGTTTCTAATTATTCTCAGTTATAGGCCGAATCGAAGGCAGTTCAATTATGATTGAGCAATTTCTAATTTGGATTCTTGTTTACTAAAAAGTGACGTTGCACAACTCTTCGTCGGGATAGTAATTACAGTATATGACAATAATTATTGTTTTAATGTTCTTCTTATAAAACTTTAATTTCAATCTACAAAGGAAATTACAATACCTAAATGAGAATATGTGTTCCTTGCCAGAAAGTAAGTAATAAAAGCCTATTCCTAGAAGAACTAGAGCGTTGTAATTGCAAATTCATTTTAGTATACAAAACTCACCGTATTTGGTTGTCTACGACGGTTTACGACTGTAAAGCCTTTTAGCGTTTAGATGTGATAGGATCTAGCGATAAGTACAATGATAATCATTTTCATATAATTAATGACTATAAACATAGCTACCTATATCTCCTCTAAACTGCTAGTCAACTATAAACTGCTCATCAAAATTAGCGTAACACTTTTTATAGAGTTGGTTTCAATGCCCCGAAGTCGCTACGCTGTGACTTAAATGGTTCCTGGTTAAAAACCTAGTGTAAATGCAAAGGGGTGGCTTACGGGGTCTGGAAATGGGTTGAAGAGATGGAACAGCGACCAAATACACAGAACTCATTGAGGAGGTCTTAATGTGTGCCGTGATGGAGTTTTTACCCGACAGCGTCCTTCTTAGACCGTCCTGTAGGTCTTTGAAGTTGCCGCCAAATTCTTGCGAATTCAAATTTCGACATGGGGTTGGTATTCGGGGTGTGGACGGCGAACCATTTAAATCACAACGTAGCGCCTTCGGGGCGTTAAAAACCTCGTCTTTAACTCGACTAGAACACACATGGCGCTAATCTAAAAAGTTGTACGCTAATTTTGACGAGCAGTTTATTTAAATTTGCTATTACATACATACGTATGGACGTACATTATAAAAAGACACAAGATAGAATGTTGTAAAAACTTGACAATTCCTATATTTTAGGTATAGGGGGAAAGGAGGCAAATATCGACAGCTTAAGCAAAAACATTTCCAGTGACTTTCCATTTACAGTTATGAAGTGACTCTTTTGGAAGATTATAGAAAAAAGACTTACTTAAATAAATTAGCTAAAGAATATGTAATTTCTTTAGTTTTTCTTTTGTTAGAAGAACAACATCAAAAACATTATTCTGGGGGACAATATCGACTAGGCGGCAAAAATCGACTCAGTGGTTGGTTAATATCGACGACGTGTTCCTACAAAGTATTTATTAAAATCCAACATATAAAATATTTTTGTATTAAAAAAATACAGAGAAATGAAAACAGTATTCTAGCATTTGTTAAAAATATAATTATCAGCTTTTTAAATGTCCGTACAATCAGTATCCAGAGTCCAACATCCGTGGGAGCGATACCTCCACCAAAGCTCATTGTTTTTTTTCTAAAATCTTGACATATTGCATTTTCATCACACATCATTTTTTCTTTTGCCGAGACATGTTTAACTTTCTTCACGGACTTTTTCTTCATTTTCTTATTTTCTTCCTTCTTTTCCAGTTTTTCTTTGGCTGGTGCTGAGGTCATAATAACTGAATGCTGGGTTCTATGAGGTCTGTGTGAGAATGACTTCTACCCGCAAAATTTATGTTCCCTTTCTTGGGTTGTACAGCCTTGTCATCATTGTCAGTTCGTCTTCTAAAACCTCTTCCAAATCTAAACCTGAAGAATAATATAATTCCGCCGAGGAAGAAGACTAGTCTAGAAAACAATGACTACTCTATTATAAAATTAAAGTAGCTATGGCATAAGAAAACTGTAGTACAAACATTTAACATAGGTTAAATATATATCATTACATGAACCTTAACATGACCACTCAAAATTTAATAAGAAAACATGTTATAATAAACTGACATCTGCACTTCGGACAACTGTTGAATAAATGGCCGCCTGAGACTTTCAGCGAAGTTAATTGTTCGAACGCTATATGGTGCACGCCACTGCATTTCGATAAATATTACCTATAGTTTTGTTTTCGGCTCAGTGATCGATATTTGACGATGGTCGATGTTTGCCTCCTTTCTCCCTATTTCTGTATACTTCAACCTACATAATTTTGTAGCTCAAAATGATTAACTTGTCAACATAAATTTCAAAGTGATTTTGACGTCAAATTTTGGTTTTCAAATCAATGGCCTTCTTGGTACTGAAATCAATAGAACTTAACATTTCGAAGTAATTTCACATGTTTCAAATAGGAATGACAATACTTATTGATTGTAGAGGCACTCTTGATTTTCAACGGCCAGGCTTTTACTTTAATTTAGGCGGGATCAAGTCTAAAACTCTGAACATTGTTGAAATTGAACATGTTCTGCACTTTCATACTCGTTACGTATAATCTAAGCATACTGTTTGAAATATTATTTGCAGATGTTTTCCACGTACGTCTAAAATAAGAGACGTGGTCAAAAATTATGAGGTGGACATAATTTCAATACGCACCCTAAGTAATTATCATGCATTAAAAATATCTGATAGTGTCTATGTTCCACCCCTCGAAGTTGGAGCCATTTATATTTCAAATTAAAAAAAAAAAAGTACACCGGATGAAGGGTGGACATTTGGTCGAGTTATTATAATATATTGAGACAAGCCTAAGAATGTTTGCCAGGTAATAGGCGGTGCTAGGGTGGGGCGCCTTCAAACTAATGTAATTATTAATGGATCTTTTTTTCTTGGCCGACGTTGTAGAAAAAACGAAATGGAATTTTAAACAACTTGAAATATGTTTATAAATATTTACGTCCATGTTTATAGGTGTAAGAGTAAACTCGTTACTACTCGGTTTGCGCTAACGGTTCGCAAATGATTTTTAAGTAGGTGCTGCCAGCTTCAATCTAATTCATTCCGGCATTTTGTTGCATTAGTCAAGTATAAACAGTGGATGACTATTCCGGAATACGATCGGACTAATAACGATTAAAACGAGGTGTATATTTTATTTGCACTCATTTTACAGGTATAATTTCTATGAATTAACCTTGTATATGATGAAAAGACAGAGTAGATATACGAGGTG